AAATTGCTAGGAAAACTTTAGGCTACATAAAAATCTCTAAAAATAATTTCCTTATTAAATAAGGAGTTGTCAGAGTAAAATCTATTAAGATTGTAATTATATTCATCTTTAATAATTTAGGAGACAATCCAAGCAACCAGAGTCTCGTAATTGTTTATTTACAATAAGAAGATGAAGTGAATTAACCACAGATATTTGTAATTAATGAATTAAAAAAAGACTGTTTTGGAATAGGGAAATAATTTCATATGGAAATGTCAAATTTAAATAATTAGAAATAAAAAGGAAACACATTTCCACATATGATCGATCAATTCAAATGTGAAAAGAATTATCTAAAATAATCCTGAGTTGGTGAAAATTTAAAATAATTTAACATAATTCCCGAAAAAAATTATCTAAAATAGTCCTGAGTTTGTGGAAATTTGAAATAATTTAACATAATTCCTGAAAAGAATTATCTAAAATAATCCTGAAGTCTGAGTTTGTGGAAATATAAAATAATTCCTGAAAAGGATTATCTAAAATAATCCTGAAGTCTGAGTTTGTGGAAATTTAAAATAATTCCTGAAAAGGATTATCTAAAATAATCCTGAAGTCTGAGTTTGTGGAAATTTAAAATAATTTCTGAAAAGGATTATCTAAAATAATCCTGAAGTCTGAGTTTGTGGAAATTTAAAATAATTCCTGAAAAGAATGTTCTAAAATTGTCTTGAAGTCTGAGTTTGTGAAATTTAAAATAATTTAACCTAATTCCTGCCAATGACGAAGAAACAAGGCATCAGCATCAGAGGGAAACATTGTGAGTACAAAAATGTACTGTTTATGAGTCCAGTTTACCATCAAAGGGACTCCACACTAACCTTTATAGTTTTGATCAAGAGTTTACCAAGCTGCTTCCTATTCAGGTACAATTGACAACATTTTCCTTGAGTTGGAGCGTTTAAAATCAACTGTGAATATTTTCAGTGGACCTTGTAAACTAAATTGGCTATAAATGTTGATATTGGTCATAACTACACTACCATTAAAGTTTACAAGCGGATTTTTTGTAACAAATTGTGATTAATATCAATAATATCGTATTCTTAGTAAAAAGTTGTTATTATTAGTTCACAATATTTAACAAAAATATAATTAAAACTACCAATAGAACAAATTATTTGCCTAATTTGGACACAGGCTATTTATGGATTTTCAGAAGTTCTTACAGCCATCTGATCATAAATCTCATCTCCAATTGACTTTTAATAAGACAAAAGAATCAATATCATTTATTTTAGTTCCAAAATAAGTGAAGACATATCCACATTTAAGTCTAAATTTGCACATTTAGAAATAGCTATCAAGATTGTATTAACTTTACAAAACTAGTAGTTTAAGTGGCACTACTCAACCACTCTTATCTGCTCTGGCTATTATTAAATCATCATCTTTAAATTCTTGCAAAATACATAAATCTCAAGAATTCTCCAGTGTACTTGCTCGTCTGAAGGAATGTTGGGGTTTAGCTCTTGAGTCCAGTCTGAGCATTTGTAGCATTTCACTACCTTCCAGGGGATGGGAATGGGGTCCACTGCCACCCACAGAATGGGTATGGGGTCCACTGCCATCCACAGTATGGGTATGGGGTCCACTGTCACCCACAGAATGGGTACGTGGTCCACTACCTTCCAGGGGATGGGAATGGAGTCCACTGCCACCCACAGAATGGGTATGGGGTCCACTGCCACCCACAGAATGGGTAGGGGGTCCACAACCTTCCAGGGGGATGGGAATGGGGTCCACTTCCACCCACAAGATGGGTATGGGGTCCACTACCACCCACAAGATGGGTATGGGGTCCACTACCACCCACAAGATGGGTATGGGGTCCACTACCACCCATAAAATGGGTATGGGGGTCCACTACCACCCACAAGATGGGTATGGGGTCCACTGCCACCCACAGAATGGGTATGGGGTCCACTTCCACCCACAAAATGGGTATGGGGTCCACTACCACCCACAAGATGGGTATGGGGTCCACTTCCACCCACAAAATGGGTATGGGGGTCCACTACCACCCACAAGATGGGTATGGGGTCCACTGCCACCCGCACAATGGGTAGGGGGGTCCACTACCTTCCAGGGGGATGGGTATGGGGTCCACTGCCACCCACACAATGGGTAGGGGGGTCCACTACCTTCCAGGGGGATGGGTATGGGGTCCACTTCCACCCACAAAATGGGTATGGGGGTCCACTACCACCCACAAGATGGGTATGGGGTCCACTGCCACCCACACAATGGGTAGGGGGATCCACTACCTTCCAGGGGGATGGGTATGGGTTCCACTTCCACCTACAAGATGGGTATGGGGTCCACTACCACCCACAAGATGGGTATGGGGTCCACTACCACCCACAAGATGGGTATGGGGTCCACTACCACCCATAAAATGGGTATGGGGGTCCACTACCACCCACAAGATGGGTATGGGGTCCACTGCCACCCACAGAATGGGTATGGGGTCCACTGCCACCCACAGAATGGGTAGGGGGTCCACAACCTTCCAGGGGGATGGGAATGGGGTCCACTTCCACCCACAAGATGGGTATGGGGTCCACTACCACCCACAAGATGGGTATGGGGTCCACTACCACCCACAAGATGGGTATGGGGTCCACTACCACCCATAAAATGGGTATGGGGGTCCACTACCACCCACAAGATGGGTATGGGGTCCACTGCCACCCACAGAATGGGTATGGGGTCCTCTTCCACCCACAAAATGGGTATGGGGTCCACTACCACCCACAAGATGGGTATGGGGTCCACTACCACCCACAAAATGGGTATGGGGGTCCACTACCACCCACAAGATGGGTATGGGGTCCACTGCCACCCGCACAATGGGTAGGGGGTCCACTACCTTCCAGGGGGATGGGTATGGGGTCCACTGCCACCCACACAATGGGTAGGGGGGTCCACTACCTTCCAGGGGGATGGGTATGGGGTCCACTTCCACCCACAAAATGGGTATGGGGGTCCACTACCACCCACAAGATGGGTATGGGGTCCACTGCCACCCACACAATGGGTAGGGGGAGCCACTACCTTCCAGGGGGATGGGTATGGGTTCCACTTCCACCTACAAGATGGGTATGGGGTCCACTACCACCCACAAGATGGGTATGGGGTCCACTACCACCCACAAGATGGGTATGGGGTCCACTACCACCCATAAAATGGGTATGGGGGTCCACTACCACCCACAAGATGGGTATGGGGTCCACTGCCACCCACAGAATGGGTATGGGGTCCACTTCCACCCACAAAATGGGTATGGGGTCCACTACCTTCCAGGGGGATGGGTATGGGTTCCACTTCCACCCACAAGATGGGTATGGGGTCCACTGCCACCCACAAGATGGGTATGGGGTCCACTGCCACCCACAGAATGGGTATGGGGTCCACTTCCACCCACAAAATGGGTATGGGGTCCACTTCCACCCACAAGATGGGTATGGGGTCCACTGCCACCCACAAGATGGGTATGGGGTCCACTTCCACCCACAAAATGGGTATGGGGTCCACTTCCACCCACAAAATGGGTATGGGGTCCACTTCCACCCACAAAATGGGTATGGGGTCCACTACCTTCCAGGGGGATGGGTATGGGTTCCACTTCCACCCACAAAATGGGTATGGGGTCCACTTCCACCCACAAGATGGGTATAGGGTCCACTTCCACCCACAAAATGGGTATGGGGTCCACTTCCACCCAGAAAATGGGTATGGGGTCCACTACCTTCCAGGGGGATGGGTATGGGTTCCACTTCCACCCACAGAATGGGTATGGGGTCCACTTCCACCCACAAGATGGGTATGGGGTCCACTTCCACCCACAAGATGGGTATGGGGTCCACTTCCACCCACAAGATGGGTATGGGGTCCACTTCCACCCACAAGATGGGTATGGGGTCCACTTCCACCCACAAGATGGGTATGGGACCCACTTCCACCCACAGGATGGGTATGGGGTCCACTTCCACCCACAAGATGGGTATGGGATGCATAATAAATGAACAAAATGAAAGCTATACTCTTGTCGGTATAAAAGATTCCATAACAGCAACAGGAATTTGATGATAAGATTGAATGAAAACCTTTAGAACACCAATTGTTACATATGCCGTATTTACAGGCCTAGCAACGAACCTAATTTGCAATATTTTATGCATATGTTTGTATGTTGCATAATATATTTATTGAAAGTAACTCTTAGGTTGTTATGTAGGGTAGAATATATGATTTTGTGTGTGTGTAATTATAATACATATTGGGTTCATGGTGGGGCCAGGAACATGCGTCCAACCCACTGCCAAATACATATAATTTATTTATAATTTATCCCAGTGATAGGTTGGTCAAAATCCAAACTAAAAAAAATATGCTTTGCCTCGTCCTCAAAAATATGTCACTTGAATTTAAAAAAAAACTCATTAGGGTCAACACTTTCAGATACATCAGTTCATCAATTTCTCAAGTTACGTTGAGGTAGAGATTTAGGGAGAAATTTTCACTTTGCTGACATTTTCTGACTGACAAAATAATTAATATCAAAATAAGATAAAGTTGGCCAGAATAGTGACTGTTATGAATACAAATTACATGTCGAAAAATAGTTAATTGGCTGAGAGCTAATTTCCAAATACTTTAACAGTGGCATAAACTCATATTCCTTATAAAACAAAATAATAAAAATTAAAAACCTTAAAAATAATGGTAAACAAAATTAAAAAGTTACTCAAACAGCCAGAGGTGACGTATGGGAGTAGAATAAAATCTAAAGTTACATACTAAAAACCTTAAAAAACTTTACATCTAATCAACTTTGAACTTTGTTAATTTATATCTAGTAAACTTGGGAGAAATCTCATACAACATACCAGGATAAATCTTGTAAATTCTCACGAATTTTTTAACAATATTGGTTTGTAAAAGAAACATTCTTGCTAAAACAATACAGCAACACTATTAAAAATGCTAGCACAAGTCCCAATACTACTAGCACTGCTAGCACAAGTCCCAACACTGCTAGCACAAGTCCCAACACTGCTAGCACAAGTCCCAACACTGCTAGCACAAGTCCCAACACTGCTAACACAAGTCCCAACACTGCTAGCACAAGTCCCAACACTGCTAGCACAAGTCCCAACACTACTAGCACAAGTCCCAACACTACTAGCACTGCAAGCACAAGTTCCAACACTGCTAGCATAAGTCCCAACACTGCTAGCACAAGTCCCAACACTGCTAGCACTGCAAGCACAAGTTCCAACACTGCTAGCACAAGTTCCAACACTGCTAGCACAAATCCCAACACTACTAGCACTGCAAGCACAAGTTCCAACACTGCTAGCACTGCTAGCATATTTCCCAACACTGCTAGCACAAGTCCCAACACTGCAAGCACAAGTCCCAACACTGCAAGCACAAGTTCCAACACTGCTTGCACAAGTTCCAACACTGCTAGCACAAGTCCCAACACTGCAAGCACAAGTTCCAACACTGCTAGCACAAGTCCCAACACGGCTAGCACAAGTCCCAACACTGCTAGCACTGCTAGCATAAGTCCCAACACTGCTAGCACAAGTCCCAACACTACTAGCACTGCTAGCACAAGTCCCAACACTGCTAGCACAAGTTCCAACACTGCTAGCACAAGTCCCAACACTGCTAGCACTGCTAGCATAAGTCCCAACACTGCTAGCACAAGTCCCAACACTACTAGCACTGCTAGCACAAGTCCCAACACTGCTAGCACTGCTAGCACAAGTCCCAACACTGCTAGCACTGCTAGCACAAGTCCCAACACTGCTAGCACTGCTAGCACAAGTCCCAACACTACTAGCACTGCTAGCACAAGTCCCAACACTGCTAGCACTGCTAGCACAAGTCCCAACACTGCTAGCACTGCTAGCACAAGTCCCAACACTACTAGCACTGCTAGCACAAGTCCCAACACTGCTAGCACTGCTAGCATAAGTCCCAACACTGCTAGCACTGCTAGCATAAGTCCCAACACTGCTAGCACTGCTAGCATAAGTCCCAACACTGCTAGCACAAGTCCCAACACTACTAGCACTGCTAGCACAAGTCCCAACACTACTAGCACTGCTAGCACAAGTCCCAACACTGCTAGCACTGCTAGCACAAGTCCCAACACTGCTAGCACTGCTAGCACAAGTCCCAACACTGCTAGCACTGCTAGCACAAGTCCCAACACTGCTAGCACTGCTAGCACAAGTCCCAACACTACTAGCACTGCTAGCACAAGTCCCAACACTGCTAGCACTGCTAGCACAAGTCCCAACACTGCTAGCACTGCTAGCATAAGTCCCAACACTGCTAGCACAAGTCCCAACACTGCTAGCACTGCTAGCATAAGTCCCAACACTGCTAGCATAAGTCCCAACACTGCTAGCACTGCTAGCACAAGTCCCAACACTGCTAGCACTGCTAGCATAAGTCCCAACACTGCTAGCACAAGTCCCAACACTGCTAGCACTGCTAGCACAAGTCCCAACACTGCTAGCACTGCTAGCACAAGTCCCAACACTACTAGCACTGCTAGCATAAGTCCCAACACTGCTAGCACTGCTAGCACAAGTCCCAACACTGCTAGCATAAGTCCCAACACTGCTAGCACTGCTAGCATAAGTCCCAACACTGCTAGCACAAGTCCCAACACTGCTAGCACTGCTAGCACAAGTCCCAACACTACTAGCACTGCTAGCACAAGTCCCAACACTACTAGCACAAGTCCCAACACTACTAGCACAAGTCCCAACACTACTAGCACTGCTAGCACAAGTCCCAACACTACTAGCACTGCTAGCACAAGTCCCAACACTGCTAGCACAAGTCCCAACACTGCTAGCACAAGTCCCAACACTGCTAGCACTGCTAGCATTATGTACTAGTAGTGAGGAAGTTTGTATCTAAATTCTCCACATAAATAATTGCACTCAAAATGTGCAAAGGGAAACCCCCACTCCTTCAAATACACCTACATCATACAACTCCTTCATACATCAGCAGTTACATCATACAACTCCTTCATACATCAGCAGTTACATCATACAACTCCTTCATACATCAGCAGTTACATCATACAACTCCTTCATACATCAGCAGTTACATCATACAACTCCTTCATACATCAGCAGTTACATCATACAACTCCTTCATACATCAGCAGTTACATCATACAACTCCTTCATACATCAGCAGTTACATCGTACAACTGCTAGGAATTCGTCATACACCTGGGGCTGTATGCTAAATATTGTTTCATGTCTATAATAATTCAAGTCTTGGGTTTCAAAAATCCCCAAAATATATATATATATACTGCCCCATAACACTATGTTGATTCTATGTAGTAGATTCTATGTAGAAGATTGTATGTAGGTTCTATGTAGAAGATTGTATGTAGATTCTATGTAGAAGATTGTATTTAGATTCTGTGTAGATTGTATGTAGGTCCTATGTAGAAGATTGTATGTAGATTCTATGTAGAAGATTGTATTTAGATTCTATGTATAAAATTCTATGTAAATTCTATGTATAAAATTCTATGTAAATTCTATGTATAAAATTGTATGTAGATTCTATGTAGAAGATTGTATATAGTTTCTGGCTGAGAAATTTCTGGCTGATTGGCTGAGAGCTAATTTCCAAATACTTTAACAGTGGCATAGACTCATATTCCTTATAAAACAAAATAATAAAAATTAAAACCCTTAAAAATAAGGTAAACAAAATTAAAAAGTTACTCAAACAGCCAGAGGTGACGTATGGGAGTAGAATCAAATCCGAAGTTACATATTAAAAACCTTAAAAAACTTTACATCTAATCAACTTTGAACTTTGTTAATTTATATCTAGTAAACTTGGTAAACGAATTTCTGTGTATAAAATTATATGTAGATTCTATGTATAAGATTATGTGTAGTTTCTATGTATAAAATTGTATGTGGATTCTATGTAGAAGATTGTATGTAGATTCTATGTAGGCCATGAAAACCATTCAGTTCTGTAGTTACATGAAAGCTCTTGACAATTTCATAGGATTAGCTTTCTTGTCAAAAGTTTAGCAATAATATACATTTTTATATAAGGGCTGTATAGCCCGGGAGGTATATTGTGTTTCTCGGTGTATATATATACACTGAGAGTTTAGCTTAGTCCTGGCTTATATTCAAGGCCAAATTATACTTGCTGTAGATTCAGTAAACTGTTGTGGTGACCAAGTTCACCATCAGGAAGCTAATTGGTCTTAGTAAGCCTAAAGAGGCTGTTAGGCCCTATTATCCCCCTAGAGATTGGTTAGGCTTAAACCCAACACAAACAAAAAAAAAACGTTTCAGATCTCAATTGGTATGCAAATTAGCTATGAGACCGATTAATGTCCTCTCAATTAGCATTTGTCACTACAAGATATAATTTAAAAAAAAGAGCTGTCTTATTCCCATATTTTTTTTAATCTAATTTCTCTGTTAATAAGAACCAACAGACTTAGCTGTCTGTGAGCAATATTAAGGGCAATTAGAAAGGGCAGATGTGTTCGTAGTTTAGGGTAAATATGTTCGGAATTTAGGGCTAATGTGTTCGGAATTAAAAACAATTCTTTTTACTATGTTGATTGTTTCAAATTTAGACCCGGTGTAACTGTATAGATTCTCCAGTATAATTAGTATATTTACTTTAGTTTAACTGGTAAAGATACTCCATTATAATTGGTAGTTTTATTATATTATAATTGTTACAGATATTCCTCTAAAATTGGTAGACATATTCCAGTATAACTGATTGGGATTCTATAATATAATTGGTATATTTATTCTAGTTTAATTAATAGAGGTACTCCTGTATAATTAAAACTGATATTCTATTAAAATTATTAAAGATATTGCTACATAACTGGTTTAGATATCGCAATGAAATTGGCAGAGATTCTGAAATATAATTGATAGATTTACTCTCGATTAAATGCAAGTTACTAGAATATAACTGGTAGATATATTCTATTATAATTGTTAGAGTAGTTTCTGTATAATTGACACAGGTATATCAGTGTAATTTGGAAGCCACTCGCCAATATAATTGATAGATTTCTCTGGATTAATTGGTAGACATATTGTAGTATCATTGATAGAGATATTATTTTATAATTGTTTAGAGATATTCCTGAATAATTTGAATAGATATCCCTGTATGATTGGTAGAAATATTCAAGGATAATTTGATGATATACTTCAGTATAATACCCAGGAATAAACATCAGGATGTATATCCTTAAAAGTATATGGATGTATATCCTTATTCTTGTCAATCGTTCGAGGCGCCTGCCTTAACCTGTAAATCAGAACAAATTAGATAATACATCAATAAATTAAAGTTATTTTGCAGCCAATGTCTCCTCGTATGTGAAGTAAATTCTGGGATCACTAAAAAGGCTCAGTTGTGTAGAGAAGAAATGGTCAAAAACGTACCTTAAATGTTTATTTAAGGCAGGCAATGATCCTAGATGAATATGAAGAATGCCCTAGGAGAGAGAGAGAGCAGAAATAGCCTACTTTCATAGCCTACTTTCATAGTAGACTATTTGAAGTAGATAATAGCATTAAGAGAGTAAATTTAGTAGAATACAAAGTCAGTGATCTGTTACATGAACTGAATGTTCAAAGTCAGAGCCCTGTTACATGAACTGAATGTTCAAAGTCAGACCTCTGTTACATGAACTGAATGTTCAAAGTCAGACCTCTGTTACATGAACTGAATGTTCAAAGTCAGACCTCTGTTACATGAACTGAATGTTCAAAGTCAGACCTCTGTTACATGAACTGAATGTTCAAAGTCAGACCTCTGTTACATGAACTGAATGTTCAAAGTCAGACCTCTGTTACATGAACTGAATGTTCAAAGTCAGACCTCTGTTACATGAACTGAATGTTCAAAGTCAGACCTCTGTTACATGAACTGAATGTTCAAAGTCAGACCTCTGTTACATGAACTGAATGTTCAAAGTCAGACCTCTGTTACATGAACTGAATGTTCAAAGTCAGACCTCTGTTACATGAACTGAATGTTCAAAGTCAGACCTCTGTTACATGAACTGAATGTTCAAAGTCAGACCTCTGTTACATGAACTGAATGTTCAAAGTCAGACCTCTGTTACATGAACTGAATGTTCAAAGTCAGACCTCTGTTACATGAACTGAATGTTCAAAGTCAGACCTCTGTTACATGAACTGAATGTTCAAAGTCAGACCTCTGTTACATGAACTGAATGTTCAAAGTCAGACCTCTGTTACATGAACTGAATGTTCAAAGTCAGACCTCTGTTACATGAACTGAATGTTCAAAGTCAGACCTCTGTTACATGAACTGAATGTTCAAAGTCAGACCCCTGTTACATGAACTGAATGTTCAAAGTCAGACCCCTGTTACAGGATGTATGTTCACTGTGAATGTAGTTCAAGCTACTTCATAACATTTCTAACGTTGAAATCATAACATTACATAGAAGCACTGATCCCTACATACAAAGTACCTAAGAACACTGAATTCAATACATGCATGCATAATCAATACATGCTCGCTTAATCTGATGCATACATGTTATTTATGAATACGTGCTAAACATAGATAATACAGCAATATTATTATATACAAAATATGTAGCATTGTTACAGTTTGGTTAAATATGGCCGTATTGCAGGCATTTATATATATATATATATATATATATATATATATATATATATATATATATATATATATATATATATATATATATATAATATATATATATTGAAGTTCAATGTTGTACACAGTTATGTGTACCAATATGTAGCTATTATGTACTCAGTACATAATATACTGGGTACATAATAGTCAACTCAGTACTCAGAAACAAGGTGTATCGTGTGTTGAAGCAGCAGTCGCCAGCTTCTTGACAAAATGTCTTCCATGATTTGGTGAATTTCCGGTGGTAGAAAGGTGGGAATGGTTGTGTTGGTGGGAAGGGAAGATCCGTCTGGTTGTTACACATCTCGCCTCTTGTTGGGTAGTTTGTGCTCGAGGCAGGCACTTGTTCACAAGCTAAATGGGGGGGGGGGGCTTGTGATTTGTGTACTTTGTAGAGTACACAGATACACCTCTTCTGTGTTGTAGAGTCTGTGTGTACAGTATTGGGTCAAGTATAGAGTGCTGTAGAGTACACAGATACACCTCTTCTGTGTTGTAGAGTCTGTGTGTACAGTATTGGGTCAAGTATACAGTGCTGTAGAGTACACAGATACACCTCTTCTGTGTTGTAGAGTCTGTGTGTACAGTATTGGGTCAAGTATACAGTGCTGTAGAGTACACAGATACACCTCTTCTGTGTTGTAGAGTCTGTGTGTACAGTATTGGGTCAAGTATACAGTGCTGTAGAGTACACAGATACACCTCTTCTGTGTTGTAGAGTCTGTGTGTACAGTATTGGGTCAAGTATACAGTGCTGTAGAGTACACAGATACACCTCTTCTGTGTTGTAGAGTCTGTGTGTACAGTATTGGGTCAAGTATACAGTGCTGTAGAGTACACATACATCAGGATATTCATATTCTTATTATTCACAGAGAAATCACATTAGCTAAATGTATCAATGAGAAATATCAACGAGATTGTTATCATTGATATTCAAGTTGATGTGATGTCTGTGAGTGTTACAAGGGAAGTGTTTGAGGAGGAACTCCTGGATGTCAGAGCCAGAGTGCAGGGAAGGAGTGAATCAAGCCCTGGATCTTCAGTGGAAGCCTCAGGAACTCTACTGGATTCAGTAGAATCCAAGATTGAAATCATTTTCCCATATCGTGGCGTAGTGGTCTAAGGCATGTGCTTTGGAGTACCCAGAGCATTTTTCGAATCCTCATCACGGCAACTATGGTTTTTTCATTATTATTATTAAAGCTATAATTATATTAGCAATAATTTCAATATTGACATAAAATTTTCAAATAATAATGTCTCTTTAATATATGGGTTTCACTATCTGGTGAGCTCAGGTCACTATCAGTATAAGATATGTTATCACTAACATCTAAATTCATTATCATACACTCAGCGTTATTAAAATCATTATATAACCATCAAAATTCAATACTATTTTGAGGATGAGTAACGCTGCAGTTAAAGAATTAATTAAAAATAAAAATAAGGCCTAGAGTAAATTGAAATTGACACATTAGAATATTAGAGAATATATATATATATATATATATATATATATATATATATATATATATATATATATATATATATATATATATATATATATAGAGAGAGAGAGAGAGAGAGAGAGGTTTTCAATGCTAGTTGAAAGTCACACACACACACACACACACACACACACACACACACACACACACACACACACATATACACACACACACACACACACACACACACACACACACACACACACACACACACACACACACACACACACACACACACATACACACATACACACACAAACACACACACACATACACACACACACACACACACACACACACACACACACACACACACACACACACACACACACACACACACACACACACACACAGGTATTCGACAACAATAGAGAGAATTATAACAGTTTTTTAAATAACAAAAACTTCTTGTTACAAAATGTATACAAAATATAAGGGAAATTTCATGAAATTTATAACGAATTCATAAAAAAAAATTATACTAAAACGAGTGAAGGTTTGGTAAACAGAATTGGTCTTGTATCAATAAATAAGACCATACGAGCTAATTTCAAGCGAAGGTTAGACATATATATAACTGAATTTGGGTGGATATAAATAGTAGCTGCCTCGTTAAGACCAATAGACCTTTTGCAGTTTCAGTTATTTTTATTCTGAAACAGGAACACAGCCCATTCTTTAAAATAATTAACGTTAAATTAACTGTGATAGCGTTTAAGAATGGGACAAGAGTTTCAAGGAGAAGGAAATATGCGAACCTCTTCACCAACAGCCTAAACAATCCTCTATGAGATTTATGAGTTTATTTTTTTATTAATACATTAGGTACATCTGCATTTGTGCAGCTGCCCTAGACTATATGTAGGGGAGTACAATGTGTCAAAAAGCTAGCTACGTGATGCTAAAAAATCCCCATCACACAGGATGGTTAGTTATACAGTCATGTGATAAGTAGTCTGCACTGACAGACTCTGGGTGCATTATGAGGATATCATGAACAAGAGTGAATAAGGTAGCAGTGATACTGAACGTCCCCATCTCGCAGGATGGTTAGTCATACAGGGCCATGTGTTCAGTAGCCTGCACTGGCAAATTTTGGGTGCAATATGAGGATATCTTCAAGAACACGAGAGTGAATAAAGTAATTGCAAAGCTCCAGGTACCTCATGCCAACTGGTCTGATAACTGGGCATTCGGTGATGTAGTGTGGGAGATCATGCCGCAGTTCCTGCTCACAGTGTTTGCACCTGGAGTGCTCAGGATTGGGAGGTTTTCTCAAGGCATGAAACTCTACGGGTCTCACACACCAGATTTAAGCATGTGGATATTTCTAGATCCTATACAAAGATGTTTCTTAAGCCTAAACAAAGAAAGAGTTCAGAGCTTACTCAGGAAGATGGCAGTACGACCAGATAGAGTTTGAACTTGGGTACTAAAGGAATGTAAACACAAGCTTAGTAATCCACTATAGAATATTTTCCAATTTGCAACTAAATAATTATGTCGATTTACCAACTCACTACGGAATATTTCCCCACACATCTGTGCAAACAGGAAATGTATAAACAACAAAATCTATAAATCAATTAACAGGAAATTTAGACAAACGTGAATATATATATATACCCACGTTATGAAGAGGACGAAGGAGATAATGCATTAGGCTACAGACAAGAATCATTGTTCAGAGGGAAAGTTAACTCACTACAAAAAGTAATACAAATTAAATTCATAGAATATATTGGTAAAACAGCATTACATCAGACAACCAGGGTAACTATCAAACTAGATCATTCACATCATATTTATGTATGTTTTGTGTGAGTGGACTACAGGAATGAGAGGGTTGGGCCAGACAGCTTCTCTATACACCTAAATATGGCGTTCGATCCCACACAAGATCTGTTTTTGGGTCTTGGAACATACACGTTGGGAGACAGAAAGATCTTTCGTACCGATGAGCAATTTCCCATGACAAGACTATAGGAAAACAGAGATAACATGCCTACCTTTAAGAGACGGTTGTGGCAGACAGGAATTTTTTGGGACAGACGAGGGGCCAGATTCACGAAAGCACTTACGCAAGCACTTACGAAAGTGCACATCTTTCCTCAATCTTTGATATTCTTTAGTTACATTTATTAAACAGTTTACAAGCATGAAAACTTCCCAATCAACTGTTGTTATTGTTATAAACAGCCTCCTGGTGCTTCGGAGGTCATTAACTGTCTAAAAATTGCAAACAAAGTCGCCAAAGATTGAGAAAAGACGTACAGGTTCGTAAGTGCTTGCGTAAGTGCTTTCGTGAATCTGGTCCTAGGTCCTTATTACTGGACGTGACAGGCGGCGAGAACTCTGGCATTATTGAGTGGAATTTGGGGCATTTAATACGTTGATTCTGTTGTTATCAATTACCTTATGGCTTTATCTTACGTTGATGAGTCTATAGGGAGAAGCAGTGCTTCCTGTTGGCATACGTGAAGAAAGAACTGATTTCTTATTCCAACCTAAACTTAACTGAATCGAACTTCAGGAACGTGATTAGAGGATGGGTCTCAGGCTCCTAACTACTCCTAACTACTGTGTTTAATGTAGGCTAGGGAACAGGGCATGAAACTCCATGGTTCTTGGTGTATATACACTGAGAGGTGTACCCAGCTTCTTGGTGTATATACACTGAGAGGTGTACCCAGCTTCTTGGTGTATATACACTGAGAGGTGTACCCAGCTTCTTGGTGTATATACACTGAGAGGTGTACCCTGCTTCTTGGTGTATATACACTGAGAGGTGTACCCAGCTTCTTGGTGTATATACACTGAGAGGTGTACCCAGCTTCTTGGTGTATATACACTGAGAGGTGTACCCAGCTTCTTGGTGTATATACACTGAGAGGTGTACCCAGCTTCTTGGTGTATATACACTGAGAGGTGTACCCAGCTTCTTGGTGTATATACACTGAGAGGTGTACCCAGCTTCTTGGTGTATATACACTGAGAGGTGTACCCAGCTTCTTGGTGTATATACACTGAGAGGTGTACCCAGCTTCTTGGTGTATATACACTGAGAGGTGTACCCAGCTTCTTGGTGTATATACACTGAGAGGTGTACCCTGCTTCTTGGTGTATATACACTGAGAGGTGTACCCAGCTTCTTGGTGTATATACACTGAGAGGTGTACCCAGCTTCTTGGTGTATATACACTGAGAGGTGTACCCAGCTTCTTGGTGTATATACACTGAGAGGTGTACCCTGCTTCTTGGTGTATATACACTGAGAGGTGTACCCACTTCTTGGTGTATATACACTGAGAGGTGTACCCTGCTTCTTGGTGTATATACACTGAGAGGTGTACCCAGCTTCTTGGTGTATATACACTGAGAGGTGTACCCAGCTTCTTGGTGTATATACACTGAGAGGTGTACCCTGCTTCTTGGTGTATATACACTGAGAGGTGTACCCAGCTTCTTGGTGTATATACACTGAGAGGTGTACCCTGCTTCTTGGTGTATATACACTGAGAGGTGTACCCTGCTTCTTGGTGTATATACACTGAGAGGTGTACCCAGCTTCTTGGTGTATATACACTGAGAGGTGTACCCAGCTTCTTGGTGTATATACACTGAGAGGTGTACCCTGCTTCTTGGTGTATATACACTGAGAGGTGTACCCAGCTTCTTGGTGTATATACACTGAGAGGTGTACCCTGCTTCTTGGTGTATATACACTGAGAGGTGTACCCTGCTTCTTGGTGTATATACACTGAGAGGTGTACCCAGCTTCTTGGTGTAT